CAAGTGGTCGTTACCCATCTTCAATTTGCGGATGACACAATATTCTTTTGTAAAGGTGGTAATGAGGAGGGAGTGGTAAACCTAAAATTGCTATTGGATAACTTTGTGGGGGTGACAGGTTTAAGGATAAATTGCTCTAAAACAGGCATTGTAGGGGTCAATCTGGAGGAAGGGGAACTACATAGATTCGCAAAGATTTTGGGGTGCGAGATTAGAAGTTAGCCAATGAGCTACTTGGGGTTACCTTTAGGAGGCAATAGGTCAAAAGGTTTTTGGGAACTAGTCATTGAAAGATTTGCTAGGAAGCTAGCAATATGGAAGAGGAATTACATCTCTCTTGGTGGAAGGATAACCTTGATTAGAGCCACTCTGGCAAACCTCCCTATTTATTTCCTTTCCACCTTTAGAATACCATGTAGAGTAACAAGGATTTTAGAGAAGTACATGAGAGATTTCCTTTGGGACCCAGGAGAGGAGAGGAAGGCTCGCTTGATTAATTGGGATCAAGTTAGAAAGCCCAAGGACGAAGGGGGTCTGGTAATGGGAAACATCTCACTCAGGAACTCAACTTTGTTAGGAAAATGGCTGTTGGAGATTCCCTTTTGAGAGAGACAGGTTGTGGCACAAAGTCATTGAGAGTATTCATGGGGTGGATGGAAATGGCTGGGATGCAAAAGTTTCCCCCCATGCTTCTTCAACTTCTCCTTGGAAAGAAATTTATGAAATTTACCCGACATTCCTTAATTTCATTTGACTTAAGGACCTCTTTCCTGACCTCTACACTTTGTCAAACTTCAAAGGTGAAACAGTAGGAAATTTGGGAAATTCTAGTCCAAATGGGGTTAATTGGAATCTGGGTTTCAGAAGGGGCCTCAACGAAAATGAATGCGACTCCAGAATATGGAAAGGCTCCTCAAGTGGCCTCTTCTCTTGTTCGTCCTTCTTTAGTGTTCTGGCTTCACCTAGTATCCTAGTGGGGGATTTCCCTGTGAAAGAAATCTGGAGTAACCTATTCCCCCAAAAATTCAAGCTTTTTGTTGGAAAATCTTCCTTGGCAAGGTTAATACTTGTGATATGCTGCAGAGAAGAAGGCCTTTTCTATGCCTTTCTCCTCACATGTGCTCCATTTGTATGGAAAGTGGTGAGACCCTAGCACACCTATTATTATCTTGCTCCTTCGTGCATAACATTTGGGAGTTTTTTTGTACTCTCTTTGGTTGCAAGTGGGTTTCCCCTCAAGATGTGGTAGGACTCTTCAACTAGGATTTTTTGAGTTAACCAAAGAAAAGAGGGAAGGTTATGTGAAAAGCTACAAAGGCAGCTATTTGCTGGGTGATTTGGGAAGAAAGGAACAACAAAATATTCTTGGACAGGAGTAGAACAATGGAGGAGGTAAACGACACCATCAAAGTTAAAGTAGCTCACTCGGTAAGATCTATGCATATCTTTCAAGATTTCTCAGTCATAGACATTATAAGATCTTGGACAGAAGTAGCACAATCCTCAAGACTGAAAGAGAAAGTAAGGATGCAATGGAAACCTACAGATGGTAATGGGTTTAAACTGAATTTTGATGGAAGCTTGTTTGGAAATCTGGGACTGTCAGCTATTGGGATAATCAAAAATTCTGAAAGGAGAATATTAGTTTTGTTCTCTAGACTGATTGGCATGGGCAATTCTCTAAAAGCTGAGTTAATGGCATTTCTACAAGGTCTGAAGATAGATAAGAAACTTGGAATGAGGCATATTGAGATTGAAGGGGACTCCAAGGTGATCATTTGTTGGGCTAAAAACAATAGAAGTATTCCGTGGACCTTCAAACAAGTGATAAGGGAAGTGGAAAAGGTCGCAAGGGAGGTAGAGGCTGAATTCAAATGGGTTAGAAGGAGTGCAAATGGGCTAGCTGATTATCTAGCTAAACAAGGGGATCTAAGGCAACAATTGTTTTGGGCTGCAAAATTAAAGTGTGACAGAAATTTGTAATAGTATGGGTGATTTAATCCCATACACAAAGCTGTAAAACCTTGCTGATCAAAAAAAAAAAAAGAATGCTCTAGTTATTCTCCACATTACCCTGCCTCTTTTCCTTGGTTGTCAGAAGAAGCTAGAGTCAAAAAGGTTCAGCACACCCGAGGGAGGATTCATTTGCAACCAAAAAGAGAAGAGAACCAAGGTTCACTGTCTCACCATTTCTTAAGCAAAGGCAATAGACATGTGGGGTAAGGCCTCCTGCTACTAGAGGTGACAACATGGTTTTGGTTATTGGTTTCAAGAGAAAACTGTATTACATAAGTTCGCACCTATACACAAGGGTCCCCCCCCCGGTTTAAAATCTTGCAACATATTGGGTTGTATTGGCCGATACATATTGTTCTACAAGGGCCCAATACGTGAAACATGTAGAAATTGTTTGTATCATTCCTTTCCATTTGTATTGAATAGATATGAGTCAGTATCAAGTAGTTTTCGGTCTATATCGGCCAATATGGGTCCAATAGAGTCCAATATGTTGCATGTATTGCCAATACATTTGGATTTTATTTGTTTAATAAACTCTCTCTCTCTCTCTCTCTCTCTCTCTCGGTATTAGCAACATTTCAAATTCAAAATTACTTATTTAAAATACTCCCTCTCTCTCCCTCAATTCAAATTTGCATTTAACTCTCCCTCTTACTTTTGCCAACTTTTCAAATTCAAATTTAATTATTTGATAAAGTTCCCCTTCTCTCTCTTAATTAAGTGTTACGTTTTAATTAAAATTTGGATTTAACATGCCATTAATTATTTGATATGAACCCTAGTTATTAGCTTATAATGACCAGTAGTCCACAAATACACCATACAAAGTAGATGGTTGTAAATAAATGCTAAAAATGATTATTACAATTTATATACTAATAAATATTAACATAAATTATATTGATTTTCTAAAAATTAAGGTATGTATGTTTGTATACATTTTCAATGGTACCAATTGTGTCCCAATATATTACACTTTATATAAACTATTAAAAGTATATTTTGTATGTTTAAATACCTTATTTATAGTTAATAAAACTGGTATTTATTGTTATCAATATAATTTTAGGATTTATTTGAGTTTCCCAACGTATCCATGTGTATCTTAATTTTTCATCTATATCCATACAAATCCAAAGCATATCCTAATATGTCTCTTAATTTTGTTTATAGGAAAACGGTAACTCCCATTAAACTTTTAAGGAAAAGTATTACAATTGTCACCTTCAAAAATAAGGTGACCTCCCATAACATAATTAACTTACAAGCATGCCCAAAACAAAGTCTCCCTATTAACTCCTTGCTTTGCTAATGCGTCAGCCAAACCATTTGTTGACCTCTCCAAGTTCCCTTATTAGGTTCATTATTTCCTTTACATGTTGTCTAAGGGACCAAGTTCCCAAGCTATTTGTTTGTATCCAACCTATGACCAACTTTGAATCCCCCTCCACTTCTAACTATCGGAAATCCAATTGTTTAGCCAATCTAAGGCCTTGAAGTAATTCCATTACTTATGCTTTAAGTGAGTCACCCATCCCTATTGGGCCAAAGAAAAGGGCCATGATTCTTCCTTCCACATCTCTAAGAACACACCCCCAACTCCAGAGGGACCGAGTTTACCTACAGAGCTTCCATCAAAATTCAGTTTCACCCTAAGCTGTAAAGAAGAGGACTAATCCTCTTGAATGGTAGGAGATGAGTAGGAGGAGGAACCCAATACTGTGCTCCATCCTCTAAGCAAGCCATCTACAGAAAAATCTTGTAAGGGATCCAAAGTTTTCAACCAATGTATGATCTTGATGGTGAGCCCTTCTATAAGTTCATCTAACGATTTTTAGTGCCCTTGGAAAATTCTGTTATTTCTCTCTTCCCAAACCACCCAAACAATAGTTGCTCTCATTGTTCTCCACATCACCCTTCATCTCATAAAATTGTCCTTCCGATACATGTTGTGTTTCCAATACTTGAACCTTGCTCCCTCCTAGAGACCCTATATAACATACAAAAATTCCAGTTTGGTCAACATGCATTGCTGATTATCCATAACCCATCAAGCATGATATTCATTTGATCAACACAGTGAACCATCTAGTAAGCTCTTCTATGCATTCAAGTTCATTATTGTCCCACAACACCAATATTCCCACCAAAGACCACATGAAGGTGCCATTGACCAGCTGATGCTTCTCCTTGACCAAATACTTCTCATCCATCTTGAGTCTAGTTTCTCCTTTTTAGAATCCTGAATTTTTACAATTTGAGGCTTGACTTTCCTCAGAGTCCTTAACAATCTCCTCTTTCTGATACTGTTTATCCCTCTCATATTCCATCTAATAGTCCTCCATCTTTATTGATTTTTTGACCCTCTAACCTCACCTGAATGAGTACAATGTGATAACTTTTTTGCGGGAATTACAGTGACTTACTAAGTGGATCACATTAAAAATAAAAGCCAATTTTCCAATCACAAAATCCCCATTTTTCTTCTAGGAAAATATTTTCGAAAAAAAAAACAGTGACATAAGAAAAATATCAAAAAATTTCACTGATATTCTGCAATTTCAAACCTTAAATGCCCAGTTTATCAACAGCATTCAAAATATGCCCAATATATAAGCAATATGAGAGGAAAAAGAATATTGGAATGTTCTGCATCACCCACCGGTGAAATGGGGAGATATAGCCAAATCTCTTTGATATTCCAAACCATGCTCTAAATCATTGCATTTCAATAGCCATATATCGCAAACAAGTATTTCTTTATGAAATAACATATATCTAACAAACTAATAAAAACATTTCATCACACAGACCTATTCTCTATAGGTTGCAACTCATCTAGATATTCCATTAACAAGAAATTATGCATACTTTGTGTATAAGAAATCAATTTGGTCATTAACAAGTTCAAAATAATTTATTAACAGAGGATAAAAAAAGAAAAGGAACATGAGATCATTAAGTTTGAACTTATCAAGCACCTTATAAGTAAGAAATTTTAACTTGATCATTAGATTTGCATCTTCATCAGCCAAATCGGTTCCTGATGCTTTTGGGTTGGAGTTACCATTGATGCTTTTTTCTAGTATGTTGCAATCTTTTGCAATTTCAGCAGCTTTCTCCTTATTCACCTTGAATAAGTTCACATCAACAAAGAAACCTGGGAAGAAAATGGAAATATGAGAAAAAGGCATGACTATAAGTCATGCAAAACAGAATAAATAGGATACTTCCCAAAGAATAGTAACTTCCACATAGACATGTTTAGTAATACAACAACCAAGAAAATATCTCCAAAGCTAAACAAAGGCAAAACTCAAACAGAGAAAAATCCTCTTATATTTGATGATAATGAAAAGTGATATCTTAATGAAAAAAAAAAAGAAAAAACTTCTTACTTCAATGCTAAAAATCATAACCACCATTTACCCAACAAAGTGACATTCCTCTCCTGAATATTCCCAATACCTAGGCCACCACACTTACTCTTACAGACCACCTCCCAACTTACCCCATGATCCTTTTTTTCCTCCTCTGGCTCCCATAGGAAACAATTGTTTTGGGCTCAGATATAAATTGATAATTTCATGGAATAAGTAGTTGGTTTGGCCAATGTTAAGGATCTAAATCTGTAAATAAATTATTTTTTCTAAGAATCAACAACAAAAGTTTCCACAACCTATCAAAAAATATTTTCCAAGGAGATAATCTTGTTAAGAAGTGGCTGGAGCAGCCAATGTAAACAGAAAAGGAATGGTAAGTAACTTTAGGAGGCCATAAGTTTTAATTTCTATTAGTACTCTCTTTCTTTCAAATTTGTTCCATTCTATTTCTTCACTATGTAGAGGTTAGAGATGACATAGGCTTTTCCTGTCTATTCTTTTCTTTCTTTCTTTCTTTCTTTCTTTCTTTCTTTCTTTCTTTCTTTTCTTTTACGTGAAGCCTTTGTGTCCATAATAAGTGAATGAATTTGATAAATAGTAGCGTAGGTTGAGGTCAATAGGTTTAGTTTGCCTTTTCTCAAAAAAAAAAAATAGTAACATAAGTTTAGGTCAATAGAATGTAACCTTTAGAATAAGATGTTACTTGCACTACTATGAGGGTTTTCAAAATAGAGGAACAAAAGATTTTTTTAATGAAAAAAAAACAACCTTGGGTTGTGTACAGTCATTTCTTATCTGACAGCATTATCTTCAATATTGAAAGAACTAAATAGTCAGTTATCCTACCTTTTGAGAAATGAGAAGTTAAGGGAGGATTAGTTTGTACTGTTTCACAGATAGCTTGATTCTATAGATGTGCCAGAGCCGTTTCACACAGTTCCCCAATTTTTTTAATTATAAAGCCAAGGGAGAGTTAGAGGCTTTGATTCTCTCTAATTATTCCTACCAAAATTCTTTCTGATCCATTCATCATCATCATCCACACCTTATTCCAACTATATGGGGTCAGCTACATGAATCTTGTGTCACCAATCCATTCTTCTGATCCATTAATGACCAAAAAGACTACCAAATTCTATCCAATGTATTTTGATCAACAAGTGAAGTGACACATATCCATGAGGTTGTCATATAATGATGTTGATGGTTTAACCAGTTTTTCATTCATTGAGATTTTTGTGACTGGGCAAAGGGATATACCTCATGATTCTCATCATCTGACCATTGTATAAGCATTATAGTCCAAAAGTCAAAATTCAAATCATGACCAAGGGCTATCCAAGCCTATCACTAGTCTTTTTTTTTTTATTGGTAACAAGTAACTTTATTGATTTGAAGAAAGATTTGGATATATTTACAAAAACGGTAAAGTTTACAGCACCCCAATCACCACAAGTGGTGACTTATCCCCCTGTTTCTGTCCCCAAAGTGTTCAAAATCAGGTTACAATCAAGAACCATGGGATACTAGTTCCCATTCACAAATACAATTGATTTCCGTACACCCCTTGCCTAGCTAGTGCATCAGTTATTCCATTGAAAGACCATGATACCCACTTAAAATACATGCCTATCATTCCAGCCAGGTGTAGAGCCTCTATCATAAAGTATCTGTATATCCAAGAGCCTTCCCTGTTCTTATTCATCTCAGAATCACCTTGGAGTCAACTTCCTTCCACTTCAAGATTTCTAAAATGCAACCACACATCATTGATTGTTTCTAAATAAATATTCCTCCAGTTCCCGATTTGCCTGGGTTTCCAATGCTACACCATCAAAGTTCCACGCCATTAGCAATTCCCCCAAAGATAGATGGTGTTTGGGGAAATCCAATTCCCCCAAGGATTGAGGCATTTGCATGGCTTGTGGCAATGGACAGTATTTGATAGTGGATCATCTGAAGTCCAGGGGCTTTTGCATGGCCGACATGTGTTTTCTTTGCAAAGAATTTGCAAGGTAGCTGGTTTCTTGTGGAAGTTCTACACCTCACTGTTTGGGTTTCCAAATTCTCAGCCAGAAACTGCTGCAGAAAATTTTTCTTCTTGGCCAAAGCTAAGAGGAAGTAAAAAAGCAAGAACTTTCTGGAGCTGCTTACCATTCGTTATTTGCTAGAACATTTGGAAGGAAAGAATAGAAGAGTTTTGGAAGACAAATACTGGAATCTGGGTAAGATTGTGGCAGCTGTTAGTAACTTGGTTGCAGATTGGATTCTGGTATCTCCAGCTCTTATCCAAGTTTCTAAAGAGAATTTGGGTGACAGATTAGGTGTTAGTAACTTGGATGGATTTTAATTTTTCTTTTCTATCAGCTTTTGTTGTTGATTGTATGAGGGTGATTTATTCCAAAAAAAAAAATGGTTGTATGAGGGTGATGCCATATCACCTCTCAGGATGTAATTTTTTTCTTCTTCTAATGAAATTTCATTTTTACCTTCAAAAAATAAATAAGTTCCACATCATGTTCCCCATTCCTGGTGAGGTCCAAAACTCCTTGCTTAAGAAGATGAAGCAATTTGGTTCCAGCATCAAACGAGATCATCAAAGGAGAAATGCACAAATGTTGGTCAAGTTTTACAGGTCTAATATGATGTCAAAGATTTTTCTCCAAAATGAAGGTTAAAAGTGGTATTTGCAGTTAATATTGTGAATTGATAATCTAGTGGGAGTTTTACATTTGCATTTTTATTTAGTAGGTGTGGCAAAATAAAGAGGAAGAGAAGAAGAAGAAATGAAGAGGGAGAGAAGAAGAAATACTTTTGTATTGATAATGTGTTGAAAAACATGTTGAGCATACAACTTAAATAAGAAAAGATAGGAGAGACAAACTCCTA